CCTGACCGGGAATTGAACCTGGGACCCTTCAGTCCGCAGGCCGACGCTCTATCCACTGAGCCACACTGGCTGGGGCACGTACAGCTTTTTATTGATTTTAGAGGGGGGGGGGAGCATTGATTTGTTGTTCCGCTTATTTATGCGTTCAGCGTAAGTGCCCTGACCCGGGATCGAACCTGCAACCTCGGCGTTTAGGGATGATGCTCTAACCCTCCGAGCTGCCCAGCCAGGGCTCTTGGCCTTCCTTCTACTTTTTATTTATTTTTAATGTATTTTTATTGACCTCAGAGAGGAAGGAAGAGGGAGGGAGAGATAGAAACATCAATGATGACAGAGAATCATGGATCGGCTGCCTCCCGCACGCCCCCTGGTGGACGTGTGCCCCGACATGGAATCGAAGGTGCCCTCCTGGCTCATAGGTCGATGCTCAACCACTCCTGTCACTCGAATGGTCCCTGGCCTGTGTGGCTCAGTGGGTTGGGCGTCATCCCAGGCACCAACAGGCCGCCGGTTCGATTCCCGGTCAAGGGCACACGCCCAGGTTTCGGGTTTGATCCCCAGTTGCGGGGGGGGGTGTGAAGGAGGCAGCCGATCGATGTTTCGCTCTCTCTCCCTCCCCCTTCCTCTCTCTCTAAAAATCGGTAATAAAAAGCAGAAACCATCCAAAAGATGTCGCTATGTCCACGTGACGTCTTACAGAGCTCTGCGCGTCCCTTTTGACTTATTTCCGCTCTGGGCACAGCCGGCGTTCTTTAATGCCATCGTAAGCCCAGTGCGGTTTGTGTCAGACGTCGCCTGGGAGAAATGCCACCATTCCTTCCAGCCTCCTGTCGCCGTCGGACACGCCGATGGCTTTCTGGGCTGTGGCCGGTACAAGAGAGATCTCTCCTAAGTTTAAAGTCATTTCCTTAGGGTTTGTTCACCGGAGGTCACGTGGCCGAGAAGTCAAATCAGAGGTGGAGACCACAGCTCTCTCTGCTTTTCACACGTCACCCTTTCGCTTTTCAAAATAAGCTGAACCGCTTTACAGCGTCTCGCTCGGGGCCTGGGGCCGGCATGTCCCTTCGCCGGTTCCCGTTGGAAAAATGGTGTTTTTTCCCCTCATTTGTGTCGTGTGATCCTTCGAAAGAGGGTGAGCATTTTCCCGAATAAGCCCTCCGGGTGGCATACGGACGCGGTAACCCTTGATGTGTCCTGGCTCCTGGGAAGGTGGTTTTTGTCTGCTATTTGACCTCTGCGTTTTATTTCATTTGCTTATTTACTGTTGTGTTATTATTGTTGTTGTTAATCCCAAGGATATTTCCCATTGATTTTTAGAGGGAGGGAGGAGAGAGAGAGGGGAACATCGATGCGAGAGAAACACATGCGTGGGTTGCCTTGAAATGTACCCCGACCAGGGCCTGGGAATGGAGCCTGCAACCGGGGTACGTGCCCTTGACCGGAATCGAACCCGGGACCCCTCCGTCCGAGGGCCCACGCTCTTTCCACTGAGCCACACCGGCCGGGGCTGCCTGTGTATTTTTAACTGTGTGTTAAATGCATTGGGTAGAGGGTGGCATTTCTGTGTGTGTGTGTGTATACAGTCTGTCGTAGAACGGCTCTATGGACACGCAGTGCCCGGGCCGTAAAACACGCTCTTTGAAAGCGTGCTTGTATGTTGTTATGTTTTTATAAGTAGACGGAGCCATTTTTATTCCTTCCGCCCGACCCTCGGCGGTAAACTCGGTAACTCGGGTTCACGGCACCTCGGCCGGGAGGAGCGCCCACCGGGGCGTAAGCCTGAAACAGATTCCTTGATTTTCCTGGGCCTTTCTCTCCCTTTCCCTTCCTCTCTCACAAATGGAAGGCACAGCCCGGCCGGCGTGGCTCAGTGGTTGAGCGTCGACCAAGGATCCAGGAGGTCAGGGTTCGAGTCCCGGTCAGGGCACACGCCCGGGTTGCGGGCTCGATGCCCAGTAGGGGACGTGCAGGAGGCAGCCGTTCCATGGTTCTCTCTCATCACTGATGTTTCTCTCTGTCCCTCTCTCTCCCTCTCCCATCGTCTCTGAAATCAGTAATAAACATACCTTTAAAACCACCCTTTGGGAGGCTGTATCCTAAGAAGTATTAGCTCAGGAGGGGTTTTTTTCAAAACTCACAGACCTACACCCTCCACGGCCGGCCCAGCGGGAGAGGGTGCCGTGGGAGGGCTCCTGACGCGGGGGCTTGGTGCCTTGCAGGGAAATTGAAGGAGTGGAGCCTCGTCCTGTACGGCACGGCCGAGCACCCCTACCACACCTTCAGCTCAC